CCATCCATTGAAGTTTGTATGTAATAGTATCCAAACAAAATAACAAAGCATGCATAACTATTGACAACTTTTCACATATTATAATACATGAGAGTTTGTCTTAATTTAGGCAGCATGCCAAGTTGACACCTTTCAAGATTAAAGAAAGATTCACATAACTTTGGAAGTTGAAATACTTCTTTGGAATCAGAAGCTTTTCGTTTATTTCAAATAATGAAATAACCACACAACAACAATTTTTATTTAAGAAATTGACAGACCATGTATCTTGTACTGATTTATCTTTGTTGGGGTTAGCTATATTATGGAGAGAGAAAATCAAGAATAAAAAATGATTAAGAGATTACGCTTGTACAATTATTTAACAATAAGTCGTGTGGCCAATGAAGGCAAAATATGCTCCCACAGTCTCACATATGCCCACTTTAGATTAACCATCAATTAAATTTTTAAATTCATGATATTGTGTTAGCATGCACAAAACTGAACTAAAATCGTATAACAATTTGCTATGCATCAGATTTCAAATTAGTTGGTATTTAAAACTTAGAAACCCCTTTGGTTAGAAAGAGGGGGGTGACCAAAATAACACAACTGAACTTTCAAATTTGTTGTGGAGAGAAGAAAGGTCACGCCTGTTAAGAAATTCAATGCATACTAATTCAAGGCTTCTCACTTCCTCTTTTCATAAGAACTAGAAGGTGGTGTCAAGATTTCGCTTGCGAGAGTAAAACTGTGTACATCTATCATCTTCATACCCCAATAGGTTGGAGCCTCGTGCGCTAGGTCACCCTTTGATGAAATGAAAGAAGGGGAGAGTCTCGGCACAACAACAAGATTGTTTGCCTTGTGACCAGGTCACGAGTTCTTCATTTGTGAGGGTAAGGTTACGTACATTTACCTCCTCGGATCCTCGTGTATTGTGGGCTGCCTTTTTTACCTTATGCATTTTTCACTTAGCTTACAAAAGTAAAAGAAATATATATCCTCGGATATGAATATCTGGAACAGCAGGACAAATTGTCCCAATTTGATCATGAAAAAAGCCTCAGTAGCAGCTTATTGAGGTAATGAAATTTTATAGATGAAACAGAGGAGGGAAAAACTCACCTGCTCTGGACATCTTCCTTCCCCCTTATCCTTTTCAAGACACAGGTAATACCAGCATTCACTCCGGTCATAACAGCAAAGTTGCGAGCTTGAACAAAAGGACCCCCAGAAAGAGCCTATAAATCAATAATACATGTATATTAACAACAATAACGATAATAACAGTGAATACCGAAACTAACTGAGTAAAATATGCTTATTCTAATCAGTCCATGAGAAATGGAAAACATGAAAAGAATACTCTTTATCCTCAAGAATCTAAAATGTCAGTCAAATTAGTCCTTTTTATAGAAAAATAGGGACATGATAGTCTATCATGGACAATTTTGACCGTAATTTGAGATTCTTAAAAACCAAATCAGAATATATATTTTTCATTTCTAAGGGGAATAAAAGTTTTTCTTTAGACAAACTTGGATATTATTTACTACAATCATAATAACAATAACTCTACTTGAATTAAACTGTAAAAAATATATATCTACATTCAATAAGCAATAAAACCTAAAATTTCCTATACATACAAAAACCCTAAATTTAAAAATTCATAAAAAATAGGGCACAAATATTATGAAAAGGGAACCTGAGCTTGCTTAAGAGAGGCCATGGCCTGAGGGTTAAGAGCAGCGTTAGGAGGCGGGGTAGGGAAAACGGAGGAAGCGTCAGACGTGAGGGTACCCATAAAGCCACCTATGGCGGCACCTTGGGCGGCGCTGGTGGCGGTGACGACGGCGGCTTCGACAGGGAGGGACTGTTGAGAAAGCCAGAGCTTGAAACCGGACTCTAACTGCTTGAAACGTGTTTGGATTTCATGTATTGGGTTCTGAAGTTGATGTGGTAAGCCCTTTGGTAGAATCATCATTGCCCCTTGATGCTTCCCCTTCTCCATTGTTTTCAACTCTCTTTGGTAATTGAACAAGTGTTTGACACTGGATATTGGATAATAAATGGTGTTATCATTTTTCTCATTTCATTATACTGTTTCATACACTTGTTATTATTTATTAATTCATTACAGACTGTTATCATTAGGAACATCGAACCTCGATTTCTTTCTCATCCTCAAGATTTAATGGACTTTACATCACTAAAATAAAAAGATTTTGCTTTGTTATAGTTGTAAATAGAATGATATGATTATTTTTTCATTTTCATTTTTACTTTCTTTTACACATCAATTGTTTCTCTATTAGATTAGAGGATCCATACTCCTTCTTATTTTATACAATTTTTTCTCACTTATTATTTATTATTATTTTAATGACAAAATGTTCAAGTTAGTATCCCATAGAGGTTTGCATGTTCTGGTTTATATTTTAAATCTTAAATGTTCAATTTAAAACTATTCCAACAAATTTAAAACTAATGTTCAATTTTTCATTTTCTCCTTCTTAAATGTTCAATTTTTTCTCACTGATTTCAAGTTAGATTAAATTCTTCTATTTTTAACTTTAAACTATTCCAACAAATTTAAAACTAATCTAATGCTGAAAAGAAATAATATAACTAAACTTTAACTCTTTAGCATTATTAAAATCTTCAAAAACTAATTTGGTGGGGAGAAGAGACAAAATTAAGAGCGGTTTTTTTATTGAGGAACTTTAATTTTGAGCATATCATTCGTAATTATTATGTTAATTAATATTGAGATTTTAACAAAATATTATAAATAAATGATTAATAATATAATGAATTTATAATAAAAATTTATAGTGATGAAATGAATAAGTCTACGGGTTTCCCTTTGATTACTTTTTCAATGGGAAGTGGTGCTCAATTTTCTACGGTCGACTCAAGTATATATAGTGGCCCGAATATCACATGGTATTCAGTATTGACTATTGACTATTGATACACGAATATAGCAAAAAATATTTAAAAAAGATGAGGTAAAATAATACCAGTGGCCAGTATTGACTAAGAAAATGGACTAGAGCGGGGTATAAAATATTGCTAAAAATATATGTATTGACGGTATATGAGTTTTATACATTGTTATTACATTATTCATTATTCATGTCTAATCATTATTAAATTTTCAAAAAATATAATGCAAATAATTGGTGAATGGAATATTGAGTATCTATAAATTTTTATACTAACGCTAAATATATTATACTTCTAAAAATACATATTTGCATGAATATCACATGGTATTAGGTATTGACCATTGATACACGGATGAAGTCAAAAATATTAGTAGCCACTATAACAGTATTGATTAAGAAAATGAATCGTTGAAACTAATATGAATCATTATTTAGTTATTCGCTTCCTTTGTAGGTAAAGAAAAATGTATTAAACTAAACATAAGGGTGTTGCCAAGTACAAAAGAAACAATCAACTAGTGATCTATTTAGACTTTAGAGACTAAAATAATATAAAGTTTGAGATCCATACACCAATTTGCAAAAGATAAATATGTTTGGTTTATAAATGAGGAGAATCAAATCCAAGATTTAGTCTGAATTAAATCAAATAAGTGTACATAACTCACTTCTTTGCCCAAAAACATAGTTTCATTCTTGATAATCTAGATTGAACACAGAACAACAAACCATAACAAATTCCAAAGTTAATGAGAATTTGTAATAAAGAGTAAAAACATTTATTACTTAGAGTCCTTAGCACTTCCAAAGGGGTCATGAAGATTAAAAACTCTATAATTGTGAGAGGAATGTTAATGAGAATTTGTAATAAAGAGTAAAAACATTTCCACACCTTCGCAGGATATAAACAAATGATCATTAGATTCAACATGATTGTTACAAAGAATATAAATCATAACATCTATCCTCACTATAATATTCATTTTGAACAATTCATCCTTCACTAGTAGCCTTTTATCTAAGGAACTTAGATACAAAATAATAAATATTTAAAATTACACAATTAATCCATTTGCTTCTATTTACATTGGGAGTTGTAAATTATTACTATACTTGAAATTATAACTACTATTAGTGTTGAAAAAAGTAAGCTGAATAGCTAAAGGCTGGTCTAATAATTTTATGTTACTTTTTTTATTTGATTTATCAAAGAAAATGAGCTAAATAAAAGTTGAAAGGAAAAAATGTAATAGAAAATGAGATAATTTCTTAATTATTTATTTTTAAAGAAAAATGAAAGAAAATGAGTGAAATGGAAGAAGTTGAATATATATATATACGGGAGGGACCCACTTACTCCAAGAGTAAGTGAAAAAGAGCATTCAACATCTTAGTTATCTATTTTTAAATTATTTGATATATTAAATAAAATTTCCTAGTGACTATATAAATATAGCAAATATATTTTATGAGTAATAAAATTTGAATAGTGACATTTATTTATTTATAAAAATAGTGATAAATTACGTACCAAAAAGTGTATTTTCAAATGTGGGTTTTTTGTGTTGGTAGAAAAGTTTTATATGGATTTTACACACTTTTTTCATTTCATCTTATTTTATTATCTCTTTAACCAAATGACAGAAAATTACTTAATCATCTCATTTTTCTCCCACTCTTTTCTTTCTATCCATTTTCAATCAAGCCAAACATAAGTTAGAAATGAATCATGTAATCAACCATGTATTAAACCGATGACTATTTTGAAATATTCTTATTATAAATGTTAGTCTTCACACTCTTTTTTATAATCTTTGTCCTTATGCACATACTTGTAATTTATTCTCATCAAATCCAAAAACAATTTGTTACCAACTCTGGATTATACTTTCTTTTTTTCTTTTTCTTGTTGTAAATTTCCTTTACACGACTTGGGTAGATTTTCAAAATAAAAAGGTTCGTGTCACTAATAGTAATAATTGAAGGGATGTGAGAGTTTATCATAGAAGTATAGAACTTTGAATAGCCACATGAAACTTAACTGTTCCTAATTTCTTTCTTTTAACTGTAAGTAGTACAAAAGTGATAAAAGAAGAAAAAACAAGAGATAAAATAAAGCTTACAAACCCCAAGCATTATAATATCAGAAATTCATAATACAACCTTACATCTACCTAGATCACAAAAAAAAGGGAGATTGCACTATACATGCATTTTAGATTAAAATTTACTTTAAAATACAGTGTAAACATCATTTTCAATACAATTTAAAGGGAAATTGCAGATTTGACAGATAGATTATGCTGGTAATGTAAGTACCTCTTGGCAAGTTCCCTTTCATTTGGTCAATCAATGCCACTGTGACACATGCATAGATGATTTAGTGGAAGACACGAACTAAATTGGATTTTGATATTGCATAGTGCATACTTGTTCAGCTTTCCATGTTGTGTCTGGATCGCTCAAATTCTTCGATTCTTCCGACATCGGTGCGGATTACACACAGGTCTGAATCTGATGACTCTTTACAGCCACATAATTCTCATCTCATCCAAACTTCACAAGAGGCAAACTTGAGCATAAGTAGCAAAATCAATGCTTGTACCTACATCAAGAAAATAAGACACAATATCAATATTTCATAGTATAGATAAACTCTATGCCACTATTTTATTCAAAGTGCAAGATGTATGTTTTGGATACTCCTTGTTGGTACCTAAATATGCTTCAAAACCTGTAACATTAAACAAAAATAGCCAACCATCAATCATATCATAGAAAGAAAAAGATTAATGGTTACTAAGATTGAAGAAAATGTGGGCATATATATCATCTCTGTTGAACCTGCAGCAGAACTATGAAGAGTTAAACAGCAAAACAGAAAGACCAGTTTTCACATATACAACAACTTTGTCAATCTGAGAAGCAGTGCAGAACCTGAGCTAAGTCAAGGTTATCGACTTAACCCTTAATACATATCGACCTAGGTACAAGGTTGATAAATGTGTGCTGTTATAATGGAATTAAGTACATTGTTGATTTATAGTACATCATTCGGATCCTAAATCAAATCCAAACCTCAATAGTCTACTTCTCACTATTTTAACTAAAAAAACTAGTCATCTCAAGTTTCATAAACATGAATATTGAACATTGAATAGAGCCTGTTGAAATTCCCATTCAACAGTCAAGCTACTTTAAGTGCTACATTACATCAATACTAGAAATATAAGGAGTTTCTAAAGTAGACAGATATATACATCATGTCCACTTCTGTTATTGATACTGATAGGAAAATGAAGAAAAAAACTTCAAAAAGATTAGAAATGATATAAGAGTCCTTTTAGTTATATAATATATTATCTAGCTCATATCCATGCCCTCTCCAACTTGGCTGCAGATGGGACTGACAACAGTAAATGATCTCTCGAAAGGAGAAGGATGGAATTGCGCATCTCGTATACGCTTAAAACCGCAGTTATCAGTTTGCGAATTCTCTGCATCAAGCTTTCTTCGAACACCTCTTACTGCTTGTTCCTCTGCTGGGGTAAAGGGGAAAATTTGACCACTTGCACGGCAAAGGGAGCTATGGTTGTCATACAGAATTCTCTGGTTACAGTTTTTATCACAGATGTGGGTCATCCCGGTTAGCTTGCAGCGATACATGTTTCCGCAAACATGTTCATTCTCACATTTCCAGTCACATTTATGAACAGAAATTGGACCTTCTCGGCCCAAAATGCTCGATAGATAAATAACATTTCCAGGACCAGCAACCATAGATTTGCCAAATACCTCCATTTCTTTCAGTCTGAAATATAAACTCCTAACTGATCTTATCACACTCCAACTTCCTTTCCTGATTTGTCTGCAGGGCCCACAACAACAACACAAGATTTTAGTCAGACTCAACATAAATTTACCTTTAGTTACCTGTTACACGGTACCGGGACAAGTACTTGGTTCACTTAGGTGCGAGTTTTGTTACTTTTTTATAACAATGAACCCGATTTATATCGTGCACGGTATGACGAATTGAATTCGGTGTGTATGTTAAATGGGAGAATCATGTAATCAATTTACCTACCAGCTGGAAATGTGTATAGCAACTCACACTCTTGTATAACCAACCACCCTTATCTTGGTTCCTAATTTCACTTAAAAAGGGGTATCTCAATAATCTCTTAAAAAATCAAGAAAAAACCTTCAATACATGAGAAAACCAAATGAAATTAAAAAGGGATGAAAATTAATGGTATTTGACCAACTAGTAATAAAAAAAGGATTTGGCAAAGGAAAAAAGCAAATGGGTTATCATAAAACTGAAATCTAGAATCTAATTCATACAGTATTAGACATAATTACATGTAACTAATGAGACAAATTAATACAGCACAGACAACTTTTGTTATATTGCACGAGGCAGAAATAAACATCAACATGCGCCAGATCTAAACCAAGGCATGTTAGATTTTTCCAAACAAATAATAACACGACAAGTAAATAAAATTATCCGATCGATAAATACATACATGAAATAAAGTTGTTTTTTTATAACATTTTACATTTTCTGTCCAACATTTATTAATTTTTCCATCATATGTCTCTATTCAGAACTATGTCTATCTTTCCCTTTACATTGTTGTCATTGAAACACTATCATCATGGAATATTAAATACATACATGCTATATACATATGACAAGCTTAAATATTATACCATAACAGTAACAAAAGCACGTATGAAAGGTGAATTTAGAATATAAAAAATGAAAGAAAAATAACTCACATCACACGCTTCCTCAGCTAAGTGAAGCCGAAATAGTCTTCTTCCTCGTTACCTAAAGAGAATAACAAAAACAAAAACAAAAACAAAAACAATATCTCTATGTATATATGGTAACAACGTTAAATGAAACTAGAAGGAAGCGGAAGGGGTGGGATATTTATAGAAACTTGGCGCTTAATGCTCATGCTTTACACTATCTCACCCTCATGCTCCAAATGCACCTCAAATTTCAGCCAAATGTTCATTTCAACTACCGGATCTAACGCTCATTCTTAAACCGTAACTTTTTTTATTATAATTTTTTTAAAACAATTTGTATTTATTAAAATATGAAATGAAATTCTACTAAACTATGAGTTTATGGCTCGTTTGCCACGTGTACCCAACGGTTCTCTCTGACTTTCTGACAATCTAATTGGTGCCTTCGCTTTTACACTTTTAAAACGTTTCCATTTTCAACTTTTTTCTGACCCAAACAGATTAGGAAGAAAGAGAAAGAACGACAAGGAGCGAAGACTTTATCCTCCTATTGCCACTTGACACGTGTAACCACTACCGTCCTCTTCGGGTATGGGCTTCTTACGTTAATTTCATTATGGGCTAAGCCCATTACCTGGATTCGGGCCATTGAGTTCCAATTTGCTTCTATTTCGATTTATGGTTACTAAACTCTGTTGACAAAATGTATGATATAATATTTTAAAAGTATAAATAAATATGATAATTGTGTATTTGATTCTCCACAATACCTAAAAAGTTTTCTAATTTTAAATGAAAATCATCTAATATGATTGATATAGTTTAAATGAAAATGGTCTGACATGACTAATTTTGAATGATATGATCATGATTGATAAAATTATAATATTGTTTCAGAAGATGACTAGTTCATATAATTTCTAGTTGAACCATTTAGTACCATATGATTTTCATAACTATAATCCAAACCATGAAGATAAGTTAATGCTTTACTAACAACAATAGAGTTATATACATATAACATCACATACCCACTATATGGGAGCTTCCTAATGACTGGATCACCCATTATAACCAGTAAGAGAGATGATCTTTGTCTATTGATTCATATATTTAATAAGCCTTTGATAAGTTTCAACAATTTATTTTTCCTATTTTGATATTTCTTAGTTCCTAGCTTATAATTAAATTAGTTTTAGATTATCAGACTTTCCATAAATTTGAATGTATGATTTTTTTTTTAAGGAGAAACAGTATTCAATATCTATTTTTTCTATTTAACCTTCAAAAAATTTACCATAGTCAATTCCAAAATCTTAGTAGAAACCAAATTCTCACTCAAACCATATGCATTTGTTGGACATGTCTCTAGTATGTATATACAAATGGCATTGGCTAAAGTAATGATTCTTTAACAAGAAAATTTTATCATCTGCATTCTGCATATGTATAAACAATGGATAAATTCCATATGCCACACTCATTTTGTGTATTGCTGGGATTATAGACATTTATTAACGTGCAAATCCTAGAATTTAATTATTAACCGTGTATTTTTATCATATATAAGAGTAAATTATGTTCACATTCAAGTTTTAGTGAAATTACACAAATCATTCATACATATTTTGTCATTACACAAACCACCTCTAATAATCACTCTTCTATGTTTTCTCTTTTTTTTTCTTTTTTTTGTCATTACACACATCACCCCTAATTCTAGACATACATTGCATTAATTACTCATCATGAGATATAAGTGTAATTCTTTAAAAAAAAGTGTGGCTGAGTATAATTAAGTTAAAAAAATTGTATATTAGCAGATAAATCCAAATAGTATAAGAATTAAGGTGTCTTCATTGTTCTTTTTTGGTATGTTACAAAAATATAAGAATTATGTTATTTAAACATGTCCCTATAATTATTAATGTATTTTGTAATAAACCAAAAAATGATAAAGATACATTAACTCTTATACTATCTGGACTTGTCTACACAATATACAATATTTTGTTTAACTTAATTACACTCACTACATATTTTTTGTTTCAAAGATTATACTTATATATCATACGGTGGTAATTCATGTAATACATAAGGACGATTTGTGTAAGGACAAAAGAAAGAGTGATAGTTTATATAATTTCTGTAAGTATAATATAATCCTATAAATTATTAAGCGTTTATAATCATAATATAAGGAGTTGATATGTTTACATATATACATCTTCTACATATATTATTAATTTGTAAAAAATGTATAATCCATAACTGGGTCAAATAAGTCTATTATTAATTTGTTTTTATGACTTTTATTAATAGTTCAGAATTTTCAGTTGAATATGATTACAAGAAACTTATCAATTAGTATTTAGTAGGCACTAGACAAGAAGGGGAAACAAGGTTGTCAGTCAGGCATGCTTCTGATCCATAGCTACTATGATACATTAATTTATTTCGTAATAACTAGCTACTTTTATATTATAATAAAACTTAATCAATTTGGCATTAAAAGTTTAAAACTAAATAATCTTTAGCTGATATTTTGTGTGTTCATTATTTTTCACTAGAAGTATACAACAAAAACTATAAATATATACCGTCAATTTCTTTCCGTTCACGTGTTTATAAATAGATTATTCGAGCTCTTGGCAAATTGTACAAGTTAAAATATAATTTCTCAGTCTAATCCTCGACTCAACCAATAATTTTTCGGTATCATAAACTATTTTGTATTTCGTCCTATAGATTATCTCATGTTTAAAGTTGATTTTAATTGTAATTGTGCACACTGAATCATCTTATTGGATGATCTTCTTTCCTTTACTGTACCGGAACTAAAAAATATCAATAATCTAAAACACTTCCAAACTTGTTTAAGGAAATAAGATAATGGTTGATTGAATATAGTTAATAAAAGAATTGTTCAATTCTTGAATGATGTTCCAAGAATGAAACAATGATGATATGAATTACAATTTCTCTAGCACATCATGAATTCAATTTGAGTCAGGATTATTAGGATGAAGCATATTATCTTCAAAGGGTGACAAGAGGTTCATCTTTTTTATCCTCTGCTTTTGGTTCCTCAACCTTGGCTTCTTCTTTGGCCTCAGAAGCAGCATCAACCTTCTCTTCTTTGTTCCCAGAGAGTTCTACCAAAGGCTCTTCTTTTTTCTCACTCTCTTCTTTCTCACCTACTTCCTTGGTTTCCTGCATAAACCCACCAATCAAATTTTATTATAATCTTATTCATAATACATAATGCTTATTTCAAAGAGTGGACATATATGATTTAGTGGATCTAATGTGAATTTTACCAACAATAAAGAGTGTGTTGAACAAAGTATCAAAAATAAATGTGTTACTACTTACTAGCTTTCTAAAATCAATTATCATGATAAAAACAATTCAATTTTGAAGTGATATGAATAGAAGTATTTGTATGTAACAAGAGATAAAACTAACTATATGGATATGAGGTGATATGTCATAAGTATGTTTGATATTTTTTTGGATACTAGACGAAACTCTCATTTAGTGGGGTTTGAGGACGGTAGATATACAGAACAAATGAGAGGTGAAAATATGTACCTGAGCAAGAGTCTCGCCCTCAACATTCTTTGGTGAGTTGGGAGACTCAATTGGGGCTTGTTCTCCTTCATTCAACTCAAGGTCCTTAGGGCTACTCACACAACCTCCCATTATTATTAATACAAATGTATGAACAAAATGGGTGTTGGAGGAGGTGGTGTGATGAAAAACACCAATTCACCTTAAAATGCAAATTGATAACAAAGTGCTGAGGGTGAAAAACCACATTGGACTAGGAATTAATATATAGCAACATTAAAGACTGAGTTTTAGGAGCATTTTTCGGGTTGCAATAATAATTGGCCTGGCATAGTGGAAGTTTTGTGGTTAATTGCCATGAGACTCTTTCCTATCCACAACTACTTGTTGGAGTTAGTTATGACAGTTAGTTTCTTTTTCATTGTTTTCTTTCCTTTTCTATATTTTTAGAATGTTTTTCAATTGTAGGTTCTTTTTTATGGCTATAACAAGAGTGCACCATTCATGGGTTGATGTCTAAAATTGAGCATATTCCTAAAGAAATGGACAATTTATATGGTCGTTGCTTCTTCTACAACTCATGTTTTCACAAATTTACAGATAAAACTATGTCCATGTGTGTACAAAAGTTTATTAATATAAAAGTTGTATGAGTAAACATATTCATATTATTCATACAACTAGTTGTTAAATGTTTCTTTATCATTTATACCTAAACTAATTTTTAAAAAGTAGAGACTAAACAAAGGACAATATAATATTATGTTAAACCTAAAATCTAGCTTTCAAAATTGTTCTTACTGTTAAATAAATGTCATTTAGTGGTGATGGTAGACTATTAAAAGGTGACACATGTTCACTCACTACTTAATCCTTGAAAATAGAGATTCTTAATTACAAAATAAAAAAAGAGACTTAATAACATTATTTAATGGCGTGTCACATTTTAATAGGTTACTCACACCACTTATAGATGAGTAATTGTAGTTAAGTTTTGTGATCTTTTTCCTCTTGTATCCTTGAATGTCTATATCAATAATACTTTCTCCCAACTTTGAGTTCTTAATCCCCTATCACATTGTTATTAAAATTGAACTGGACATTGAGCTGGTCAAGGCATTGGGTTTGGGTTAGTGAATCTATAATGGTTCAATCAATTAGCCACAAATTGATTCAGGTACCTACGAAACCAAATTTTGTATATTAATAAATTATTAAAATAAAATGCAAACCAAACTGAAATATATAGAGAATATTATTTGTATGCACTCATTCATATATAAAAGATTAGGAGATCATATTATTTATTTCTCAAGTAAGCTAAATTAAAAATAAATAAAATGATCAATTTTCAAAAAATTAACATGATAATAAAACAATACTTAACATTCATGATATAGCAAAAATTCTAATTATCATATATTTTTTAATAATAACAATAAAAAATTATTTAAAAATATTAGTGTAACGGATTGGTATGTCTAAAAATATATTTCATTAACGTGTGCCTTAGCACGAACACACCTATTAATATTTTTATAAAAGAATTAATTATGAAGATATAAAAGAAGAGTTTAATTATGATTTCTATATGAATAATCTCACGCGCATTCCATCTAGACTCCTAATAATAATTTTCAAATAAATGTCCTAATAATCTAGTTACTTAAAAAAGAGCCTATGAAATGTAACAAAGAGATCACATATCCAATTTCTTTTTCCAGATGTTAATTTTTGTTTTTAATAAAAATATATATTTATTTGATAATATATCATTGGTTCAAAACAAAGATAGACATGTAATTCATGTTGATCGAATGCATTTATGCATGGTAAGGTTTCATAATTCATAACATTAAAAGATGCCTTTTACCTATTTTAGGAAGATTATTATAACATCTTCAAACTTACTCACTAAGGATTGATTTTAATAACACATTTATGTATTTTAGACACATGTATGCATACTTCTATGAATAAAGCATAGTTGTCCCCACATTGAAAAAAGGGTAAAATCAAATATAATAGAGATCATGTGTTCCATTATTTAGTGCTACATTGTGTCTCAATCTAATAAAAAAAAATGATAACTAGTTAAGAAAAAAATTATAAAAATATAAAATAATATGTTTTTATTATTCGGTAGAATATGATTGGTTTGAGACATAGAGACAAATTTTTTGGAACATGTGATCTTCCAATCAAAATATACATAGTTGATAGTTCATAGTTGGACTAATCTTCACAGCCCAAAAGACCCATTTTCCTTTTCATTCAAAGCTTTTTTCTTTACATTCACCCAACAAAGCATTTCAAGCAATTTAGCACATTGGATTCTCCAATTTTGAAGGCGAGCTTTCAATATTAAAAGCTCGCATTTCCAATCATGAACGGAATCTCCATATCCCCATGCATTGTTCCGATCACCGTCTTCTTCTTCTTCTTCTTCCTCTTCGTTTTCCAATCCGCCGGAGAACTACAGAACCTGTGCGTCGGAGTGGCTTGGCCAACATCGTGCCCCGTTAAGTGCTTTCGGGCTGACCCAGTTTGCGGTGTCAACGGTGTGACCTATTGGTGCGGTTGCGTGGAGGCCGCGTGCGATGGTGCCAAAGTTGCGAAGGTGGGGTTTTGTGAAGTGGGGAATGGAGGTTCTGCTCCCTTTTCTGCTCAGGCTCTGCTTCTAGTGCATATTTTGTGGCTCATTGTGTTGGGATTCTCAGTAATATTTGGCCTTTTGTAAAATTATTGAGTTGGAATGATTTAGTGAAAGTCAAATACTTCAAATATCAAAGGTAAATCAAACCTTTAATATTATATATATTCATATAATGAAATCATATTTTTGCTATTAAAAAATAAATCTAAAATATACACTTGAATTTTTATTAATGGAGATGATCTTAGTTCAAAATTGTTGGGGATGGGTTAAAACTTATCATTAAAGAAGGAACATCTACTAGGGTAATATTATTTGATCAATAATAAGTTTGGGGAGAGTGTTACATCAGACTAAGGTTTATCAAGCTCAATATACTAAAATTTAAGCTATGTATGATGTTGGCATATTTTATTATATTACATATTAATATTTATATCATATAATTTTAATATAACTGAAGTTATTATATGTGGAAGTTGAATATAGATTTTTTTTATAAAAATGTAATATAATTATTTGTATCAGATGAATCTTTTTAAAAATTATTATGTTACACTAATTAATGGCATGTCTATTGGTCTACGGCATGATAAGTTTGTAATGTGTTTAGAGTTAGACTTTTAACTTAAAATTCAACCAGCTAGACATGTCATGCTCATGTTAGCATATGTTATACATGGGCTTCTTCCACGTGGTAGTGAGGTAAATCGTTGCTTTGTATTTACATTTAAGTATAAAAATATAATATTAATTATTAAGGGAATAGTGTTACATCAACTTATTTTTCATTTGTTTTGTATGTTCTTCTCCTCTATAGTAACAGAGAGAATTTTCACCCATTCTGTAGGTCATAACTATTTAAGTAAAGTCATGTCATTCCATAAAATTAAAATTAAAGGTTAGTTAATTGTTCTCGTATAAAAATAACAATAGTGTTAAACATAAATGTTTTAAATTAAAAGTTAGTTGATAACTTAAAAAATATATGTATTTATATTTTAATATTGATCATTCAAATAAGATTTAATGGTCTATATTAATTGTTTTTATTTTTCGCAAATAACATTAGTTTTCACTTGCATCACATAGAAGTTTAATATTTATATATAGTGTTGATTTAAAGTTTTTTATATTGTTATACACCACTCACCATTCATCAATATTACTTTTATTTTAGAATCAATAATGATTAACATATAAATGTTAGATGATATACTAATAATGTAACAAAAACTCTTACATTATTAATGCATGGAAATAAATGTGACAAATTGATGAATTTGGATTTGAATGCGAATGGACGGATGAAAAGTCATTCATCAATCCATATGAATGCATTTACACTATATTTTAAGTTATTCAATTCATCTATAAATAAACTTATGACTTCATTTTCATGAATTTGGATGGATGAATATTCCATCAAATTTATTTTTTTATGGGAACTAAAACCACTATTAAAAAAAGTATTATTTTAAAAAAATTTATCTCAATAAAATAATTTTAAAATTACCTTTTAAAGAATACTTTTAAAAAGCATTTTCTTAAAAAGTGATTTTTCTTAAAAAAGTGATTTTTGAACTTTTAAAAAAAATTATTTTTTTGTAATATACTACAACGACATAATTTTTTAATAAATACTTATATAGTGTAATATATATGTATTATCAATGTAAATATTTATATATAATTACTATATTATCCATAATTCATTTGAATTACTATTTTGAAGAGTTAATGATGATTAAATATAAATAATATAAATGGTGGATGATGCAGTGACAATGTATAAGACTTATACACTGTTAGTGCGTACATGTTTCTCATTATATATGTTATGTACTGAAGAATAAACTTTTAATATTAACTACATACACATGTCATATAATTGATACCAATTTAGTAAAATATTAAAAGTGAGAGTGAGAATCATAAATGAATTTGATTGAATTTATTTTTCTTCTACATTAAACGAAATTGAAAAACAAAGAACTTCATTTTTTGAATTTTTGTTTTTGGATGGATTGAATATCTACTAAATGAATATATGAATGATTTTAAATTCATCTATTACTAAAGTTATTCATTGAATTCCATCTATTTAAATCCATTAGCTCAAATGGATGGATGTGGATGAATTTAATTTTCCTGGATTTTTATGAATTTTGTATTGCGAATAATTTTGTCACCATTTTTGTATGAATCTAATAGAACTATATATGCACGAAAGAGTTTAGGATATATGAATTGTTAATATAAATATTTATACACAGTTAATATATTATTTATCATTTAATTGTATTACTTTTTGTTAAAAAATCAATGATAATAAAATATAAATGATGGATGATACAATGATAATGTATAAAACTCATACAATATTATTACATACATTTATTCTCTATAAATAATATATAATCTTTAAATAATAATAAAAATATAATATATAAATATTTAATTTAAAATGAACTTATAAATATTCAAGTAATCGCGAAATGTATATCATGATATTAGTTCTTTCTCGTAATATTATTACAAGTTTTTTTACCGATACTCATAAGTGGGTATCTTTTCATCCCCACTTCTGTCGGAATCAGGATGTGTAGGACTGTATTAAGTTTCCATTTAAGAGCATCTATGGGGTTGGTGATGAAATTGTAGCAACTTCTTTCTTTAATCATTAAGTGATGATAATCAAAATCATCCCCAATATACATGTATTTCTTATCTTGTTTTTATTAGTCCAATGGGATTTCCACACCACCGTTTCTTATGCTTTAAGATTTCAAGAAAGAAAGAAAGTGAATGTTTTTGTTGAGAAACTAATCATATTTTTAATCACTAATGAAAGTAACCTACATCACTTCTATACTAATTATTAATAAACAAAGTGGTATATGCTACTTTATTGTGGACAGAATGATTTATAAGAGAATTTAATAAAATGATATATCATTTTCCAATAATAAAAGCAATGCATAAGAATGGACTCTTTTCAAACATTGAAACGAAGGTAACCAACACAGTTAATGTGCTGCAAGCATTATTTAAGTAAGAAGAAACTATTAGTGTGAATACATAAGAAGGCTGAAATCCTGAATAGCTATTTTCTTATCTTTTAATTCCTTCCACCCTAACTTTGCCTGTTATTGAGAAATAGGATTTTCACTGTAGTCATAACCAATGTTACAGCAACTTGCAATAGAAGTAAAGTCCAACTAAATTCTGCTTCCCCCCTCTTGAAGTCTGAACACAATTTTCACAGTAACAACTA